TTTTTTTCCTCCTGCCATTGGCGGGTCCGTTGGTTTTATGCAGACTTGCTGCAGCCTGGCTGCCTAAGGGAATTAGGAGCACGCGCATCCCCGGGGGCAAATCGTGGCTGCCTGCGGCTCTGCAGGGCCGTGCGYGGCTCTGCGCGGGTGCCTGGCCCGGCAAGGGGGCTCGGGGTGCGCTCGGGGTGTCGGGGGTGATGTTCGTGCGGGGGRAGGCCCACAGCAGCCCCACATCCTGCCGCGATGCGGGGACTGCGCGATGCGCTGCAGCAGCAGCTCTAAACTGTAACAGAGAAACAGAGAGGAAATGAAGAGCTTAGGAGAAAGGGCTGGTTGTTGCACAGATCTGGTTAAACCCCACTCAGAGCACCTCGCGCTTGCATCATTTTCCTTATCTGAGTCACTTTGCTTGTCCTAGGCCTCAGCAGGGAAGGGGGCTGTGCCAAAAAGCCACAGGAGGTGGGTGTCTGTGTCTGGTTGGCTTAGCCCCATGGTGTGGGTCTCAGTTTGTGATGAAGGAGAAATGCTGGGGACATCAGTGAACACACTGCAGGCTGTATCTGTGCTGCTCCGAGCAGGAACAGGGTCTGAATCCGGGGGAAGAAGTGCTCCCTGGCACTCCCAGGGCAGAGGGAGAGCTGGAGATGCTCCCCATGTCCTGCACTAGCACCAGCCATCCCGATGCAGGAGATTGACCGTGGGTCCCAATGAATTGCAGCCAGGCCAGTTACTGACAGGGTTTTCCAGGTGTTTCTGCTATGGAGTAAGGTGGGATGAAGGTGGTTTGGGATCCAGAGTTCAAGTGTCCCTTACTGAGGGGCCAGGGAAAAGCAGCTGGCCCTATGGCCCGTGGTGGTAGTAGCTGGTTGATGTGAGCACTGCCACTGTGAGCACCCTGAGCACCCTGCTGCCACAGCCCTGCTGCCCAGGCAGGTCCTGGTGCACGGACTGGACCCCTCTTCTTCTGACCCTCAGCCCACAGAGGTGCAAGGGCTCTGCTCTCACTTGACTTCCCCCCACTCTCTAGGATGCACCAACCTCAGAAGAGCTGGAGCAGTTTGCCAAGGACCTCAAGCACAAGCGCATCATGCTGGGCTTCACGCAGGCTGACGTGGGGCTGGCTCTTGGCACTCTCTATGGTAAGCACTGCGCTGGGTTGCACCCCATAGCCTGTGTCCTCTGTCACAGTGGGGAGGACTTCCCTAAAGCTGGAAGGATTTGAGCCTGATGTGAGCAGCAATAAACTGCCTAAAATAGCCACAGCTGCTTTTTGAAGGGTGTTTCAGTGCTTTGCATCCTGCTGAAGCAGCAGGGAGAAGGAGCTCAGATCATGATGCCAGAAGACATGGCATTAAGACTGGTTCCTGGGGGTCAGTGGGGASGTGTGGGGAGAACCCAGCTCAGAGGCGGGGAGCTGCGATAACCGGGGCTCCTGTCTCGCCTGTGCAGGGAAGATGTTCAGCCAGACAACCATCTGCCGCTTCGAAGCCCTCCAGCTCAGCTTCAAGAACATGTGCAAGCTGAAGCCGCTGCTGCAGCGCTGGCTCAACGAGGCAGAGAACACGGACAACATGCAGGAGGTGCGAGGCAGAGCCGCCTTCCCGTCCTGGCCTGGGGGGCAGTGCACAGCCGAGGAACAAGCGAGCCTGCAGTTCCTCCTGCCTTCAAAAAAAAAAAAGGCTTTGGGCAAGTCCTGGCTTGCCCAGCTGTGGAGGGGGAACCGTATCTGCTGGTGACCGGTGCAAGGCTGGCAGGGGAGCAGAAGGGGCTTCCTTTGAGGGAAGTGAGCCGGAATTCCCAGCACGTGTCTCTTGCGAAAGCTTTGGCAGCTCCCTTCTTGGAGCAGCCGAGTGTGGCTGGAGCCTCCGATGGCAGGGAGTGGCAGGACGCTGGGCATGGCCCCAGGCACAGTGGGATGAAGCTTGAGAGCGAAGTCTTCTACTGCATCTCCTGCATCTCTGCTGGAAAGCCGCTGCCGTGAAGGACGAGACTGTGCTGACAGATATTCCAGGGACCTGCGGGTGTCTTTGAGCTTTGGAGCATTGCGTCCATCTCCAGAGGCTGGGAGGGTGCTGCCAGGCCTGACTGCCCGTGACCGAGTGCTGAGGCCTCTCTTTCCCTTTTCCAGATGTGCAATGCAGAACAAGTGTTGGCTCAAGCCCGGAAGAGAAAACGCAGGACCAGCATTGAGACCAACGTCAAGGGCACGCTGGAGAGCTTCTTCCGCAAGTGTGTGAAGCCCAGTCCCCAGGAGATCTCCCAGATCGCCGAGGATCTCAACCTGGACAAAGACGTAGGTTTGGCAGGGTCTGGAGGGCAGGGGGCACTTGGGCATCAGGCAACAGTGGGTCCTTGGCACCCCCTTCAGGCTGGAGAAAGGTTTTCTTTTGGATTGGAAGCCATCCTCCCTTTGGAGCACAAGGGTAGCTCCCCGTGGGTGAGGGCATGAGGGGTGAAGGGCAGTGCAGCTGGATGTGGCCACCCTGGCACCTGGTGAGAGACGGGGAAGTTCCTACCTCCCATGACCTCCCTTTGCATTAGTCTGCCYGCCTGGACACGTCCTCCACAGGGGTTTGGGTCACCTGGGAAGTGCTGCTGCTAGAAGCAAGGGATGGAGAAGGGTCTGAGAGGCAGGGAGGGCCCCACTGGGGAGCGGGCCAGGGCTGGGTGTCTCCTGGCCATTCCCTGGCATGTGCATCCATGCAGAGCCCGGCAGGAGCGGGGTGGGCATGGAGCCGTGCTGGAGGCCAGGATGCCATGGGGCTCCACAGATCCCACTGCCAAAGGGCTTTCCAGCCTCCCGCCCGGAGCCGGAGCTTGCCRAGCTCACAGCCCCTCGTCCCATCCTTCGCAGGTGGTCCGGGTCTGGTTCTGCAACCGGCGCCAGAAAGGCAAGCGGCTGCTGCTGCCCTTCGGCAACGAGGCGGAAGGGGTGATGTACGACATGAACCAGTCGCTGGTGCCTGCCGGCCTGCCCATCCCGGTGACGTCCCAGGGCTACAGCCTCGCTCCGTCCCCTCCGGTCTACATGCCACCCTTCCACAAGGCCGAGATGTTCCCTCCAGCTCTGCAACCCGGGCTCTCCATGAGTAACAGCAGCCACTGAAGCAGGGGCTGYGGGGCAGCTGGGGGGCCGGGGGAAGGCGGCCCCGGCGGCTCCTCCCCTGGGCCCGCAAAGGCGCGTGGCTCTGGTGCCACTCCAAGAGTCTGGGGGCGGGCGGCTGCTTCCTGGCTATCTGGTGCCTGAGGGTTAGTGGAAGGGCCGGGCTCCGGGTGCGGAGGTGGTTCCTGCTCTTCCCAGTTGCTCCCAGCCCTTCCCAGCTCAGGCGAATTGCTGGTCCCAGTGCTCCTTCCTCCTCCCTCCCCTTGGGGGGACAGCTGCTCCTTCCTCACTGYGACCTCCCTGCCCGGCCGTGCCCAGGGCGCCGTGCGGAGCCACCCAGCCYCAGCTGGGCTCAGCCGCTCTCCTGCATGAACCGCGCAAGAAGCATTTTTAAATTTGGGGTTTAAGGGGGTGAGGGGTGGGGACGGGGTTTTATTTTTATTTCATTTTTCCTTCTTGTGATTTTGATTGTATTTCTAGTTTTTTAAAAGCAAAACTCCTTAGTGATCTCCCAGCTCTGCAGCTGCGCCCTCCCTGCCGTGCAGAGCGGGGCCACGGGCACGTGGGGCGGGGGCCCCCCCGCAAGGCTCCCCCCGTCCCCCTGGGGCTGGGCTGGGGATGGGGGTGAGGAGGCGGCAGAGGGGCAGGGCGTCCTCCCCAGCTCGGTGCCCTGTGTCCCTCTGTCCCTGGGACCTGTTTCACTTGCCAGCCGGAGCGYGTCCCCCCCAGCCTGCCTGCCCCCCGGGGAGGGGGCCGAGCCGGCCCGCAGCGAGGCCACCACCGCCCCGCGTGCCACTAGCGCCCCTGCCTTTGAGCTTGCTGTAGTTAATGATCTGTTCCCCCACCTCCCTTAATCATATTCCCTCTGGCAATGAAATAAATCTCAGTTCTTTGGGGCATGAGAGCAAGTCAGCCCTTTCCTGGCCCCTGTGCTGCAAGGAGTCCAGAGCCCGGCTTTCCTCTTTCCCCCTTTCCCCTCTTTTCCGCCACTCATTGCACTTGCAAAAGAAGTGGGGGGCACCCAGGTGGCTTCTTCCCTGCTGAGGTGTTTTAGTGGCCACATGGGCCAAAAAGCCCTGGAAAGGGAGAGGATGCAGGTGGGCATCCGTCTGCATCYGGTCAGAGACCTGCAGGATGCAGCTTGTCACGGCTGTGATCTCCTTGGGACACAGGGCCTAAACACAAAGGGTCGCCTGCCAACCTGTTCCTAAACTACCTTTCTGTCTCCGTAATCACTCCAGGGAGGAGGAAAGTTCATCCGAGTCTTTTCCCCCTGCGCAAGCAGAGGATTTGCATGTGCTGGGGGGGTGGCAGTTTCTCCGTGCAGCCTGGTCTGCGCTTCCCTGTCCACAGCAGCGCACACGAGTCCCCATGGAGACTCTTCCTGCAGCAGAAATGCCCAAAGCCGTCGTGCTCCTTTCCCTGCAATCCCCCTTTTCCTGGCAGCCCCTACACTGTCCATGACCCCGACCCGCCAGCAGCCACGCGCTGCCTGGCCGGGGTGGCCGTGTCCCGCTGCGCAGGAAGGGCACAGACCTCGCKAGGAGATGGATGATGCTGAGGCTGGCACCGGCTGCACGGCGGGTGACAAGTGTCCTCGCTGCTGTGCAGGTGTCCCCACAAGCTGTGGACCTGGCTGGGGTGAGGAGCAAACTCCTTTGGGAGGAGGAGGGTGGGCTTGGAAGCACCCATGGGTGCCTGCTCCAGGCCAGTGCTGTGTCGCCAGCTGCAGGGAGGAGAGAGCAGAAGGGGCAGCAGGGCTCCTTGGACCCCCTAGCCCTGCTGCTGCGGGTGTGCAGAGGCCCTGGGGTGTCCCTGAGCATGAAACGAGGCCAAATCATGAATGGCAAGGAGGAGCAGAGGCTCCTGGCGAGCCGGGTGCGGCGTGCCCTGCACTGAGCCTGCAGCAGCTGAGCACCCAGCTCCCTGCACTGGGTGCTGTTGCCACCCTCACGTTTGCTCCCTGCCCAGCCACCCGCGGGCATGACAGATGTTTCCTGGAGGCCACCTGTGCCTACGGCGCAGGGTGCATGTGGGGCAGGGCCTGCACGGAGCAGGATGTGGTGGCACAGGGTGTGTGCGCGGTGCAGGGGGCGTGGGGGGCACAGAGGGCACCGGGCACCCACCATGCAGAGGGCCCACGGTGCAGCGGGTGCCGGGTGTGCGCAGTGCAGAGTGTGCACAGGGTGCCCATGGTGCCGGATGTGTGTGGTGCCCGGGATGTGGGTGGCACCGGGTGCAGGGTGTACAATGRGTGGCACAGGGTGCTGGGCACATGCAGTGCTGAGGGCGTGCAGGATGCCCAGGGTGCAGGAAGTGTGCAGCACAGGGGCTGTGGGTGGCACCGGGTGCTCTGGGCACTCGTGGTGCAGGGTACAGGTGCAGCCCGGGGCAGGATGTGCATGTGCCGTGCAGGGGGTGCCCACGCGCGGCGCGGGGTGACACTGGCACCGCCAGCTTCCTGACGGCGCAGCGCRTGTGCCGAAGGGGAGCGAGAAACCACAGCCGCCTCTCTCTGCCTCGGCCGCGCACTGAGCGGGCTGTGATTGTGAGAGCATCCGGTGTCCTGCCCGCTCGCTGCCCACATCCTGCCCGGTGCAGCGGCGCCCGCGGCGAGGCAGCCGCGCGGCCGTAGCGGGGCTGTGCCGGCGGGCGCGCGGCCGAGCAGAAGCTGTCGGCACCAAGCTGTGGACCTGGCTGGGGTGAGCAGCAAACTCCTTTTGGAGGAGGAGGAGGAGCGCCTGGTGCAGCGCTGCGGGAGCCTGCCCTGCCCGGCTGTGTGGGGCTGAGCCCCCTCGCAAGGACGGGCTTGAGCTCCCGGCAGTGGCCAGGCTGGGGAGAGGTGGCTCCTCCACCTCAGGCTGCAGTGACCCAGTCTGAAAAGCAGCCTCAAGGCCTCTCCCACGGGGCCTTCGCTGCCCAGCACAAGGTGTCGGGGAGCCACAGAGCGGCTATAGGTTGGGGGAGCCTTGGCTGATTCCTCACGCTGTCCCCACTGGCCCTTGGGCCTGCCCGGCTCCCAAACAGCAGGCAGAGCCTCTGGAGCACGTGATTTATTTCCAAAGCACCTTTCTGTCATCCCAAACATTATGACGAGGTAGGTGAGGACATGGCTGGGCTGAGGGTTAGTCATGTTTTGCAAGAACTCAACTCACACTGGGTTGCTCAAGATCTCGCTGTGTGGCAATAGGAGGGCTGGGATGGGAGGTCAGGTCTCCCGGGGCTCATCGTGACCTGGTTCACAGGAGGTTGCCCCACTCTTCCCCACATCCATRTTGTCTCAACGCTAAGTGTCCTCAGCACATGCCAGTCCTGTGCTAGGCTTTGAACCAGCTCTCCAGATCAGGATAGATGTGGCCCTGKGGCAGGCTGGGGTACTTGGTGCAAATCATACAGATGCGCTCCCTCCAGTCCGTGTAGAGCTTCACGCTGTACCTCTTCTGCCACGCAAAGAATTGCCGGTACCGGCTGGCATTCATGGTCTTTAGGAAGGTGGCCAGCTCTGCCAGGGACTGAAAGTCGTCCACGTGGATGAAAGAGTCTGCAGGAACAAACTGCTCATAGTTGGCCCGGGGTGGGCCCAGCACCACCGGCACAGTGCCAGCCATCAGAGAGTTCCTCCAGACCTTCTCGGTGATGTAGTCCTGGTGGATGGAGTTCTCAAAGGCAAGGTAGAACTTGGACTTGGATGTTGTTGGCAAGAGGCAGTCCTTGCAAAGTGGCCTTTTGCTTGCCCTCCCATATATRTCCACGTGGAGGTACCTGGAGAGGTTTCTGTAGACTTCTGCTCTTTTCTGAGTCCTATGATAATTACTAATGACCCAGGACACCAATCTAGTCTTTTTGGGAATGTTCACTGCAGCTGACTGGTTGGGCACAAGCTTGCCATAGGGCATGAAGATGTCTGAGTCTTGTCTGTAGGTCATGACCCAGTTGAAGGTTTGTTTCCATCCTGCTAAAGCTTTAGTGTTTGTGGGGGACTCCAGGGAGACCCACAGCCAGTTCTGCCCAGGAGGCTTCTCCTTTGGGAGCTTGTGCCTGCTCTGCTGGAGCGTGTGATGGTGGAACACCACCACATCTGCCTGACTGAGGAGCCTGCGATCCATGGTAAGCCAGCAGCCCATGATGTTGTAGAGGTCTCTGCAAACATCCATGCTGATGTTTGGAGCCTGCTTGGAGGGCCATTCCCAGACCAGGATCATCAGCGGCTTAGTGTGCTTGGGAGCTCTACTGAAGACGTCAGACAAGTTCAGAACGTACTTGAGGTTCCAGAGCACGGTTAAGAATAACCCAGTGGTGATTAGCACCTTCATACTGGGCAGGCTCCGCGGTGGCCATGTCAGCATTGATGCTTGGGGCATTTGGGGCACGCTGGTGGGTTGCTGGCTGGGCTGCCTGTCACCTCCTTGCGCCCCAAGATCCTACACCTGTGGCAGAGGAGAGTAGGCAAGAGGGGACATCAGCTTAGTTTGCTCGGCAAAAGGAGCCAGACTGGCAGAGGGTCTCAGAGCCAGCGATGATGGAGAGGACATGAGATCCCTAGATGGACATGCACCAGATGGACATGCACCATGGCTGGGAGATAAATGAGGKGTAAAAAAGGGCTTCCAGACTGGCTAACAGGAGGGATCCCAGGCCCAGCAAGACTCACSCAGCCTCCTCCGCCTGTTCTTGCTGCCACCAAAGTCCCCTTTGCACCCTGTGCCAGAGGCCCTGCCGCCGCTGGGTGTCCAGGGCGTGCAAGGGAGCAATGCAACAAGCRGGGCTCAACCTCCTGCCCAGGCACTTTGCATTTTGTTGATTGGTTGCACAGAGCAGACAGGCAGGAACCGCTCGGCACCCAACCGCCTGCCATGCTGGGCTGGCACTGCTGCTCATTACACGGGAGGGACGCTTTCCTTGACGCTTGCTCCCTGCCTCAGCTTTCCCCAAATGGGGATAGCCCTGCTCCACCCTCCTCGCGTGCCCGGCACAGCAGCGCAGCCCTGCAGCCCTGCAGCCCTGCAGCCCTGCAGCCCTGCAGCCCTGCTCGTAGAGCAGCTACTGCCCACGGCCCCTGGCTTGTGGCTCCCAGAGGCAAGTGAGGACCCGGCCACTCGCTGCCCGCCCTACTCGCACAGCCACAGTGCCCGTGTGCCCGCAGGGCTGCTGCTCTCTAGCATGGGTCCAACGCGCCGATTCAAACGGAAAGCAGCCACGGGGAGGCAGCCCGACCCTGCGCCGGGCGGGCCGAGTGGAGCCCGTCCAGCAGCACCTCTCCCCAGAGGCTATGCAGCCAGATACTCCCTGGCTTTTCCCGTGCTCCTGCAATAAGCAGGCTGGAGGGGCGCTGGGAGCACCGGGAGCTCCGCGTTGCCAGCTCAGGGGCTTTTGGCACCGTTTCGCTGCTCTGCTTTCCCACCCCGCTGCGCTTTTTGCACAGATGGCAGCCAGGCTTCCTGGCAGGGCTCAACGCCCGCGAAGCTGCCTTCAGCACCGCAGACAGTTTCCCTYGCACAGGAACCTCGGCGAAGCGCCGTGGGCGCCCGAGCTGCCCCGGCGGCCGGCGGGATGCTGCTCCCGCCTCCGTTTTGGAGCCTTGTGGAGAACACTGCCCTGCTGCAGTGCCCAACTGCATCAGCTTCGCTTGCAAAAATCTCTTCCTCGCCTTCACCACTGGTCATGTGAGTGTACAGGAGCTATGTTTAGGCTTTAGAAAAACGCCTGTCAGCTGGAGAGGAGGCTTGGGATGGCTCAGCCTCCTCGAGCACCACCCGCGCTGGGCGCAGGCAGAGAGCAGCACATCGGGCACCCATCGCTGCCACCCCCAGGCCATGGCACTGAGCACCTGGGGGTTTTTGGTTTGCCTTGGGCTGTTTTGATCTTTCTTTCAAGTTGGATGTGCTCACTGAGCACAGATTTAGGCTACAGGGTGCTCGTCTCCCTCCTCCCCAGCCCTCACCAAAGGGAGGCTGCCCCAGTTTCAGAGGCTGCAGCGGGGGCAGAGCTCCCGCGTCCCAGCAGCACCGACCTCCTGGCAGTGCCAGGTCTGGACCCATTTCCCAGCTCGTGGACCGTGCCGTGGGAGCGCCGCGGCGGCAGTGCCGGAAYGTGGGCTCAGCCCGCACTTACCGGAGCAGGGAAGGTTCCACGGCGCGTCCCGGCAGCGTGCGCCCRCGCGGCTGCGTGTGCCCGGGGAGCCTCGGGAGCCGGCCCGGCCGGTGGCGCTGGGCAAGGTTATTTGAATGCTTCCCCTTTTCTGTGGTTTTGCTACGTCCYGGCCTCCGAGCGGGTCCTTCCTGCTGCGCTCGGCTGCTGGCACAGCCCTTTCCGAGCACTTCCGTGGCAACGGCAGCGGTGCCGGGGGCGCCGGGGCAGCGTGGGGGCCCGCCAGCTGGATCCAGGTCGTGGTGACTCGGGGGCACCCGCTGGCTCACGCCCCACGGCTGCGTGGGCACCCCTCGGCTGCATGGGCACCCCATGGCCGGGTGGCTGCTCCACGGCCGGGTCCAGGCCCCACAGCAGCATCCAAGCACCCACGGGAAAGGCCTCCCGCTGCAGGGGCCTGTCCTGTCCCCTCGTGTTTCTCCTGTGACTTGCCAGCAGACCACAGCTTCAGTACTCCTTGGAGAAGGGATGCATGTGGTCACTTGTGGGGTTTTAGTTCCCCAAAGGGCTTTCCCAGCAGCTGGGGTCGAAACCTAGCCTGGATCTCGTCCCTTCCCTGAATCCCTCTCCTTTCCCAGCCTTTAGTTGGAGCCCTCATGTCCTGGTCAGGCTGTGTTTGATTGAGATGCCGTGCACAGTTTGTGGTTTGAGGACAGTTCAGCATCCATCTCCCTGAAGCCCTCCTGCTCTCCCTGGTACATGGAAGGAGAATGTGTCTGCTCACAAGCCACAATAGCTTAGACCGTGCCCCCAGCCTGTCCTCGAGCACCCAGCCCTGCAGAGCAGGACGGAGCCCCACTCCTGAGCACCCAAGGGCGAGCAGGGCCGCAAGACGGCTGCRCCAGGGCTGGCCTGCTGGAGCAGCAGCCCCTACCAGGGCCATGCGAGGAAGGTGGAGCCACCCTGAACCTACAGGGCAGCTGGGTTAGTGTCTTTTGTGTCAAAAAACACTACTGCTATTAATCTTATTACTACTACTATTATTATTGCTATTATAAATAGGACTGTCAGCTCTGGTGCTGATCTCCCTGGACATGCGGCTCACTCTAAAATCACCCAGGAGCCGTGAAGCATCAAGATGCCCGCTTGGCTCAAACTGCARCCTGCTTCCCTGGCATTTGCTTTGCCCCATCACAGAGCTGCCAGGCATGAAGAGGAGCCAAATTGTGCCCAGCACCTTCACCCGGCCCTGTCCTGTGCCCTTGGTGAGTCTGAGGGTGATGTCTTCCTTTGGGGATGCCGAGAAGCTACTGAGCCCAGCTCCATTTGAGTGCCCTGGAAAGCACATGCTGGGAAAGCTGCAAGCAGGGCACTGCCGGTGGTCTCGCCGTCGTGTCTCCTCTGCAAAAACAGGATGCCAGTCTCCGTGCAGCTCCCACTGACTCATCTTGAAAGTGGTTTCTCAGCTAGCGTGGCACCGGCAGCTCCGCCGTGCCCAGTCCGAGCAGCTGCCCTGCCCAGCAGGGATCCTGCTACCTTGGGAAGCGGGCTCTGCTGCCCGGGCATCACCGGTGCCCGCTGTCCCAGCATGTCATGCACCCGCCTGCACCTTGCTGGGTGTCAGGGCTCCCACAGAGCCCTGGCAGAGGAAAACTGCGGTGGGGTGGACTGCTCCAGAGCAGGCAGTGCCATCTCCAGAGGAGGCAGGTGCTTACATGCCCTTGGCACGCTCAGGGCATCTCGGGGTGCTCGAGCAGCACTCTCCCTGCACCCTTCTTCCCCTCTGGCTCTCCAGCTGCCTGGCCAGGGGCTGCTCACACAAGGACCTGGCTATCCCGTCCCCATGGTGCCATGGGCGCTGCAGGCCCCAGCTGGCACCGCACTGGGTCAGCATGCAAGGAAGCTGTGTGGTTTCAGTGGCACCCGCTGGGGCCACCAGTAATTTTCTCCTCCACAAGCTCAGAGTCCGGTTTCCTGTTATCTTTTCTCRCCCCTCCTGCTGTATTTCATCCTTGTCAGATGGGGAGCCCAGATACCGGGTGCCGCACAGCCCGCAGGATGCCGCTCCCAGGCTCACCCTGCGCTGGCGGGGACTGCAGTCGCTGTCCCCACAGCTGTCCCCATTTCCCAGCAGAGCCCTGGGGCCACTGACCTTGGCCAAGGCCACCATCAGCCACGAGACTGAGATTGCCACCTGGGCTGCAGGAGGACTGGTGGAGAATGAGGAAGGGCACAGAGCTGCTGAAAGGTCCTTGCCAGGGGTGCCACTGTCGCCCTGGAGGGCTGCGACAGGATGTCCCAGTAGCAAGGAGAACATCTGTGCCAGGAGGTGCAGGCGCCTGGGTGTGCTCTCCTGGCAGCCCAAGGCGTGCAGGGGCAGCCGGGTGCTGGTGGCTGCGCTGGGGCTCTCTGCCTTGCTCCGGCACACGCTGGGAAGGGGACAGGGGCCTGCAGCCGCTCTGCCCCGGGCCGGCAGAGCCTGAGCGGCCCGGCTGCAGCCCCAGCCCCGCTGCACGCAGAGCCCAGGAGCGCCCGCGCTGTGGGGCACTGCTGCCCTCTGCAGATGTGGCTCAAGGAGCTTGGCCGGCCCACGGACAGTCACCTGGCGGAAGCGAGAGATGCTCAGAGAGCCATGCTCTCCCTGTTGGGACTTCGGGATGGTGCCACACGCAAAATCAAACCAAGAGGGACCAGGAGGGACRGAGTGAGAGACCAGGGTTGCAGGCACTGCTTTAGAGCATGCAACTTATGGCCCCACTGGCAGTCTTCATCTTAGCACCCCTCTGAGCTGAAGGTTCAGTCTACTTTAGGACAGGTGTTTATTTTTATTTATTTACTTACTGATAAAGAGCTTTCTAGTTTGGGTTGGGTGACCCAGGTGGGCCTGCTGGCTCCATTGTGCCTTTTTAGTTCTGTGTCCCAAGAATCTCAGAACTCTGCTGATTTTGTGCCCCAGCACCTCAGCCTGGTGGAGCTTGGTGCCCAGCCAGGGGTGAAAGCCGCTCCGCTTCCCACCTGCGACGGGAAAAGCCAACAAGCAGCCACAAAGCTGGCCTGGTGCTTCTCCTGCACCGGGCAGCAGATCTGCGTGACTTCTCACCTCGGGAGTAACATTTGTGTGGCACCACAGGGAGATGGAAGAAGTTCATAGACAAGAGACCTATAAGGCTTGCAGATCCTTGGGAACAGCCAAAAGCCAGGAATGTATTAAGGGTGGTATAATATACACTTGTCTTTCGTCCTTCCCCAGGGACCAACTAAAAGCCACTTCTGGCTGGGCTGGCCAGGCCACTTTCTGAATCGCTACGGCTCAGTTTACATTGGCACCATTCAAGACATCGAGTAGCACTGGGAAATCAAAAGAGAATAAACACCAGCAAGCCCGGAGCAGCCTGAAGCAGCAGCACCCAGGTTGCTCCTGCCAGTCCCTGCCCGGGCATGGCCCTGCCTTAGCTCAACGAGGTCCTGTTGCCCACCTAGTCCCACCACCAGCACCTCAGGGCCTTCCCTGCAGGAGGAGCATCACGAGGAACCAGCCAAATTGTGCCCAGGGAACCTGCCATCCCCATCAGGACACTGAGCTAGGAGGACGGGGTTCCTCTCCATCACGGTGTCCCCCCCAGGAGAGCTGCGGAGCAGGGGGCAACCTGCATCTTTGGTCACTGCCTCAGGAGGTTAAATCCACCTGGCAGATAGGCTGGGCAATGTTTTGGCCAGACGTTTTTTGAATAATGGCACTTTGTTGCAGGACAACAGGAGCTTTTGTTAGGGCTGGGGCAGCTGTTCTAGAGCAGTGATTGAAATGCAGTCACCCTTAGCAACAAAACTCGGAGCTGGGACGGCCGAGTAAGTTATTTGCAGCTTCCAACTGTAATTCAGCAATGGGAGTAGCGTGGAGACCAAGATGGTTAAACATAACTGCAACAGAAGAGAAGAAACCAGAGAGAGAGGTGGTTAAAGATAGCTGRGGAGGAAGCGAGAGGGAGTGGGGATGGAAAACGGGTGGATGGATGGGCAGATGGATGGACAGGTAGAAAACTGGGGCTGGTTTAGTGCTCACTGTCACCTGGAGCAAACTGCCTAGCCTTGGTGCCACAGCCTTCCTGTCCCTACCCACCTTACAGCTGAGAGCCACCAGGCACAATCTGTGGGGGTGCATGTGGTCTTCTCCCAGCCAAAGCAGAGGAGATCATCCAGGTGCTACCTGCGGAGGGTCTCCCCCATCAATGCTTCAGGAGAAACCCCTGGGAATGTGGGTGCTGGTGGGGTCAGCAGGCACCACAAGCTGTGGTGCGAGCTGAGGCAATGATGGAGACCCTACCTGGCCCCTGCTCGCTTGGGCTGCTCTCATACAGGGAGGTGGGAGCTAATCCAGGTGGGTGCTATCCAGAGGAAACTGGGCAGTTAGAAATCTYATGAAGTTCAACMAGGGCAAGTGCAGGGCCCTGCACTTGGGGAGGAATAACCCCAGACACCAGTACAGATTAGGGACTGACCTGCTGGAGAGCAGCCCCGCAGAGAGCGACCTGGGCGTCATGGTGAATGACAAGATGACCATGAGGCAGCAGTGTGCCCTGGTGGCCAAGAAGGCCAACGGGATGCTGGGGTGCATTAAGAAGACCGTCTCCAGCAGGTCGAGGGAGGTGATCGTCCCCCTCTACACGGCCCTGGTAAGGCCACATCTGGAGACTGTGTCCAGTTCTGGGCTCCCCAGTACAAGAGGGATGTGGAGCTGCTGGAGAGAGTCCAGCGCAGGGCTACGAGGATGATCAAGGGCCTGGAACATCTGCCCTATGAGCAMAGGCTGAGAGAGCTGGGCCTGTTCAGCCTGGAGAAGAGAAGGCTGAGGGGGGACCTGATCAGTGTCTATAGATACCTCAAGGGAGGCAGTGAGGAGGAGGGGGCGGCCTCTTTTCAGTGGTGGCCAGTGACAGGACTAGAGGAAGCAGCCACCAGCTGAGGCACCAAAAGTTCCACAGGAACTTCAGAAAACACTTCTTGACAGTGAGGGTGACAGAGCCCTGGAACAGGCTGCCCAGAGAGGTTGTGGAGTCTTCTTCTCTGGAGATCTTTAAAACCCGCTTGGATGCAGCCCTGTGCCACGTGCTCTAGGTGACCCAGCATATGCAGGGGGGTTGGACTAGATGACCTCTGAGGTCCCTTCCAACCTTAAGCATTCTATGATTCTATGAATCACTGAGGAGGGAATCTGAAGCACACTGAAATGCCAGCGCCCCAAACCTGGCAACAGTGCATTTTGTGAGAGCTGGGGAGGGCCAAGACAGCAGCTCTGCAGCTGTTTCACCACCTGTAAAGACTAAAAGCCGCAGAGAGTTGGGGGGTTGCACTGATGTGCCTCACTCTTTGCCCAGGGCAGGAGCACCCCTCCTGGCCAGAGCAGTCCTGCACAGGGAGCATCTGGCCCCTGCACCCTGCAGGGGTTGCAGCCACCTCGGACAGCGCTTGTCCCTGGGCAGCACAGCCGTGCCCAGAGGTGCACGGGAGCCCTGGGTGCCCCACGGCTCGGGCAGGGGTGCCCCCTCACCATACACCACAGCTGCCTCTTCCTCAGGCCAGGCGGCTCCTCTAGTGCTCCAAGGGCTGCTTGTCTCATGAGTCTCCGGCGTTTCTTGGGAGGAGCACTGAGGTTTTGGAGCTGGGACAGGGATAGGACAGGGCTGAGGCCCCTGGAGCAGGTGGCCAGGCACAACATAGAGCTGGTGGCCTGGTACCTGCCAGAGCTCTTGCTCTGGACCACAGCAGCAAGAGCGTATGGAGCTGAGCGCTGGGGGAGGCTGTGAATGGAGCTGTAGCCACCCACCGCACCGACACCACCGCCCATGTCACCTCTTGTCCCTGGCAGGAAACCAGCGCTCTGCAGCTCCAGTAAATGGGTCAGGCAAGGGCCCTGCGGGCGTGGGCACACGGGAGCTGGCCTGTGCG